CAATATAGATTAGCGTACAATGTGATAAACATAGTGATGGGGTTACTATAGTCAATCAAGGTAATATGCCTATCTCACAAAAGAATTCTAGCACGCTCTTAGAGCCGATAATTCTCTTAAGCCATGTTAAAGCAAAAAGCATAGAAAATTAAGAAACCATCAGTTCTCTTTTAATGTAGAAAGATGTTAATACCCAAGCATAAGAAAGATTTCATGAAACAAAGCATAACTAGAGAACAATTGGGTTTCATAAGTTGGTAAAGAAATCCTAAATAAAAAGCTAGCAAACTAGCTAGCTAGAATCTAGTAACACATTGAAAGAATTATCCTCACCAAATAGAGTTTATTTTAGGAATTCAGAGCCCTCCCTGTATTTGATATAAAAAAATTGATAGAATTCATTTTATTAAATGATCTAAGGAAAAAAATATATGATACTCCATGGATGCTGAAACCTAACATCTTTTTGGTTAGAATAAACTAACATCTTTTTGATTAAAATACACCAATTCAGGATAGGTGGTTTCTTTTATATAATAAATATTAATTAATATATTGGTATCTAGGTCCTAAATCTGGCCCGTTACTTAATGAGAAAATTAAAAGTCCAGATAGGGATGCCTGTTATAACCATGGTTTTACTCCGTCTAAAGTTTTACATTGAATTAACAAATAAATAAGAGAAAAAGAAAAAAAAAATAAGTGGAAATGAGATGCAAAACTATTGTCATTTGAAGATTTCTTCATTCAGCAAGTATTTTTTGAGTCCTGCTATAATCTAGGAACTGGTGAAAAAATAATGAAAATTTCTTTTTTTTTGAGTTATGAAATTATTATTATTTTTCATTTTTTTATTAAATGATAGCTGTATACATTAATGCAAACATGGGTTTTGTTTATGGAACTTATATTACAATATGTTATTATATAATTATAGACCCCCAAAAGTAAAAGAATCAAGTGAAAAACAGATAATAAAAATTTCTTCTGTTTATGGAGCTCGCATTACAATAATATGTTATTATATGATTACAGACCCTCAAAAGTAAAAGACTCAAGTGTAAAACTATCACGAACAATATGAAATTGTATTACAAAATTCATAACCAGAAACCAGTAGCTTTCATATACACTAGAACCTCCGTAGTTGAACATGTTCCTACATTGACTCCCTTAAGTTGAACTAAATTTCATAGCCCAAACATGTACCAAATGTACGTATCAGCAGGCCTGGGTCTTTATGTTGACCATCTTCTTATGTTAACCAGTTTGTTACAGTCCCTTGTGTGGTCAGCTTACAGAGGTGCTGCTGTATATGTAAACAATAAGCAGTTAAAACATAGAAGAAAGTACCTTTTTTACAATAGAGACCTAGGAAAAAACATAATACATTATGTGTAAGACCTTTATGAGGTATTCAAAACACTCTTAGAAGACACAAAAGACAAACAGAATACAGGTGGCAGTTCATCCTGCCTTAATTTTAAAACTTGGTGCAATCTTATTAAAAATACCACCAGGTTTGCTTCTTTGACCATCTGTTTATTTTGAAAATAGACAAACTAATTCTAAAGTTTATATGGAACAATAAACAAAAATTTCTGAGAAAACCATGTAGTATTAGTACATGAATAGTAGACCAGTAGAAGAAATTTGGTCTTTCACTGGGGAAAAAGTGAATGAAGATATTGGGATATTGGGTGGCCATCTGGAAACAAAGTTAGAGTCATACCTCATCCTGAATACAATATTTATTCCAAATGCACTAAAGATTTGAATGTGAAAACCAAAGTCTTAAATATATTAGAAGAATTAGAAAAATTCTGGGGGAATTTTTTGAACATTTGGAATAAGTTAGGCTTTTCTAAAAATGACTCCATATTTAGAAGCTGTAACAGAAAAGAATGATAAATTCAAATATGTTAAAAAGCTTCTCCAAGGGGGGAAAAATATCATAAGCAAATTTTAAAACACAAATAATGTATCAGCAAAAGTATGCAAGTTAATCACCCTGACAAAAGAAGAAATCCTGTAAATCAACAAAGAAAATGTTAAAAAAAAAAAAAAAGAAGCAAAAGATATGAATGCACTCTTCTCCCATAAAGGAAATATAAAATGTCTTTTAAAGCATGAGAAGGCATTTCTCTCATTAAGAGAAAAATCAAAACTATACTGAGAATAATACATTTTACATATCAGACTGGAAAAAATGGAAAAGTCTGATATACTTTGTTTAGTCTCTGGGAAATGAGCACTCTTGCTTTTGAGAGTATAAATGATAAAGTTAGTGGAAAGTTTTTAATGTTACAATAAATTAGAGGGGCGGTGCCTGTGGCTCAAAGGAGTAAGGCGCCAGCCCCATATGCCAGATGTGGTGGGTTCAAACTCGGCCCTGGCCAAAAACTGCACAAAAATAAAATAAAATAAAAAATAAAAAAGATAAAATAAATTATAAATCCATAGGCTTTGATCTACAGCTTTCATTTCCAGGACTAAATTATCTCACAGATAATCCTGTACAAAATGACCCATGGCACGTGTGTTTATTATAGCTTTGTTTATAGCTGTAGAAGTTTGGAAGCTACCAAAATAAAAGCAGAATGGATCCATTATGATATATCCCACTAGATCTTCAAAAGAATGTGGGTGTTCTCAATAAACTGATAAGGAAATATTTCAAGATTCGTTGTAAAGTGAAAAACCCAAAGTCCCGTAATAATGTCTTTAGTATGCAACAATTTGTGCGACAAAGGTGGATTCAAGAACACATACTCAAATTTGCTTATATTTGCATAAAATAACTTTGCAAAAAAAAACTGGTTCACTAACTGATTCCCTGCTGGGAAGGGGAGAATAGGGACTGAGAGAGTAGGAACAAAGTTGGAAGCTGAAACTTTGCATAGTTTTAAATTTGTGAGTCATGGGAGTATTTTCTTTGCCAATACATTTAGAAAATAAATTGAAATTAAAAATAATCTTGTTAGGATAATGGTATAGCCAAGGTATGTATTATTATATTGTAGGCATCCTGTTTTCTCCCTGCCATATTTTTGATTAAGAAAGACCTGAAAGGCAAGGGTAGTTGGTATCTTTACTACTAAAAAAACAGCTCCAAGTATGTGCCCAGTTGCAAGCTGGTGAATTACATTTATAGTTATAGGTCAACACATTTTATACCGTAAGGCCATTTGCTGTTTCCTGAGTGTCTGACTATTTTAGTTCAGACTGCTGTAGCAGAGTACCACAGGCTGAGTGGCTTAAATACAAACATTTATTTCTCACAGTTCTGGAGGCTAGATGTCTTAAGATCAGGGCATATCAACATTGATGGTTTGGGGGGCAGTCCTCTTCCTGTTCACAGAGGGCCATCTTCTGTTGTATCCACACATGACAGAGAGAGTGAGAGAAAGTGAACACTCAGACACATTCCTACTCTCTGGTGTTTCTTCTTAAGGGCACTGATCTCATCATCTGAGCTCCATCCTCATGACCTAATTGCCTCCCAAAGGTCTCACCTCCTGATACCATTACATTGGAGATTGGGATTTTGCCATATGAATTTTGGGGGGGTCACATCCAGTCCATAGCACTGACACCTTGAGTTGCTTGCGATGTCTTTAGGAAAGTTTGTATGTGCATTCTATCTATCTAACTTGAAGGCCAGTCAGGATGCCATCCCCCTACTCCTTTTTTGATTATTTTTCCTGATCATTAACATGAAAGTAAAGGTAGATTGAAAGAATGTCATTAGTATTGAAAGATAAAATAATTAAAGGAATGAGACTTACTTGGCTTAGTTTCATTGCGTAATAGGTCATCCTCACGTGATTGCTGGGAAGATGCTCTCTAGCATGTTGAAGGGGGTG